CGGAAAGGTGGATCTTCAAAAGATTGATAGTGTTAGATTGGCATTGTTTTGCACTCCGGATCTTTCTCATTGAAAGGATAGAAAGAAGCCGACTTGTTAGAAATATTTTAACTATTTGGTCGAGAAATACTCTAATTCCCAATGGAAAGTGTATATTTAACTTAGTTCTGTCACGCAGGTAGAGTAGCTTTCCTAGCTATCTATCCTGCCTGCATGACAGGATCAACCCTGACGACTTAAGCTTTTCTAGATTTGATGTAAATTCCGTTCTGTCTAATTAATTATTTTCTAAATAATTTTATTACTCTAATTAATCTGAAAGTGTATTTTTGAAGTGAAGATATTCTTATTTAATAACAAAGTTTATCGACAAAAACCAAAGCTAGGATAATTCTTACAAATAACAATATATTATTTGGATTATTTAATATCAGCTAAAGTCTATTTTATTTTGATAAAATCGAGTAGTATTGTAAGCAGAGTTTAAAATCTGCTACTCATTAACATCTCTCCCCATTAACTTCACATCTGCGATCGTCAAGAATTCGGAGAACTGAGGGGAAGGAATAGCTTGGTCAGGGGGATAGAGGAGAGAAAGGAGAGAAACCTTTCACCCTGGACATATGTGGAACGGATGTAAAATTCATCTGTGCTTGTGATCACCTTTCTTTTTAGTTCAATTATTGTATTATTAATGTTTGTGATATTACAAGTATGTATACTAATTAATCTCAAAAGTGTTTGTTTAATAATTTGAAGGGCTTTCACAAGTATTCAATTTAGTTTTCTACCCATTTTGAACATTCGAAACACGTTAATCAGTTTGTTATAATTAATCTTTTAATTATCGACCTGTTATAATTAATTTAATTTAAAAGTTTTAAAATTTTTTGAATATTTTCATAATTGTCAAAATATATTTTATAAATAAAATTGCTTTTTAAATTTTGTATAGAAAGGAAGTATATTTGAAAATCAATACAAAGTAGGAAGTTTTAAACTTGTTTAGATGTTATATATATCACAGTCAAACTATAATTTTATTTATTACGAAGCNTTTGACCTACTAAATTTGTTAATAATAAATAATACTATATAATGTTCAGAATGTCTAGTTTTTCTTTATTGAGATGCAAAGATAGATCTTAAGCAAAAATGATAGTTTTATAAATATTTCAATATTAACAAATTCATTTTTAATATTATAATTTTACTAAAGTATGAATACACAATAAATAATAAATGTTATTATAAGAAAGTTTTATGCATAAATTTTTAAAATAATATAAATTAATCGATATTCTTGTTTTGTAATTTAATATTTTAATGAATAAATTAGGTTGGCAAAAGAAGAGGTAATTATTATATTTTTACATTATTTTAATTTTTATTTACTTGTTAGTATAAAGGAGATAAAAGTGATTTAATTTTCTATTATATTTTTCTTATAAAAGGAATAAAAAATATGAAACATTATAGAAATTTTAAAAATATAATAGTACAATGAACATTTTTTTTTCCTCAGCAAAGTGACAGAATAAACTACAGTTCATTTTCTACGGATAATTTTCTATACAACATTGCAAAAACATAGGAAGAAACAAATGTTCGTTTCCGAATGGTATCAAATGACTTGTCTCTTAAATATAATCGATTGGATTTCGTTGCAAGAGTATCTCCTAATAGAAATATAAATACAGTAAAAGTTATCTAGAATATTATGGCTGAGAGTAGAAAAATTTCATTTCTTTTATTTTTGAAACAATTAAAGGAAGGAAAAATAATATGGAACTATGATTACTAAGTTTTGGCTCTATAGAGGACTTATCACACACTATTGACGTTATCGGAATAATCACACAGAAGTCGGTAGACACAAGTTTATTATGTCGACGATATGCATTTCGGACAGGTTGTCTGTGTCTTCAGCCGTATTTGTTACAATTTGGTGGGTTTATATAAGGCATCTACAAAAATACAAGCGGTTTTTTGTTAAAAAAACAGGTTTATGATTAAAATATTACAAAATTACACTTTTATATATACATAAAAAAACATCTGTTGCTGATGCATGGATGACTTCATATTCGGTATCTTTCACAGTCGTTATATTATTTTTTCCGTACAAATAGTAACCAGAGATTAAAATTGTTGCTAATGAAATTAATTGTAAAGTAAATACTATGGTAGACGAACGTAATTCAAAGGTTACATACGTTTTGCAGGCAGTCAACTCGTACAATGTTCTCTACTATAGAAGCGATGCTACTATAGGATGGTATCCGGTGTTGGTGATATAAGTATTACCTGTTGACTAATAAGTTTCAGATGTATAAGGATGCCAAATGGGATCTAGCTGTATCTCTGTGTTTTCGTTTATTCTTACGTTATCATGGATTTTGATAATTTCTAAATGTTCGTAGAATTTGCGTTTGGTAGTATTTCTTTCGGAAAATAAACCAACCAATCAAGAAAAAATAAATTTAAATAAAGTGAAGTACGACATAAAATGATGCACATAAAAATAAAAACAATTTCAATTATAATTATAAACATAAAACTGTATTAATTGTCAATGATTTAAAAAGTCTAAAAAATATTATGAAAGCTCGTTAGTAATAAAATTGTATAGATGATTAGTAACACAATCCATGTTGAATTTTTTAAAAAAGGAAATAAAATAAAGAATTTAATAATATGAAACACAAAATAAAAGAGTTAAAATAGAACATCTAATTAATTATAAATATTGTATGAGCTCAATGAAAATTGATTTTTCGGTCTAAAGCAGTTGAAAAACTAATAAGTGAATGTAGAGATCGGATGTCAAGAAACTCATTGTAGGCAATAAAAATCTCTGTGAAGTGAAGCTCTCCAAGAAAAACAAATCAGAGATCTCAACTCAGTGATAAGATTAAAATCGAACTAAAATTATACATAGATATATTATCACCATCTGCTTCAACTGAGACATTTCCTTTCTTTGGTTTATAACGGATGCTATCACACTCATTTATTTTTAAATAAGTTTGTGATTGGTTCTTTGTAAACAAATTACATTTTATTTTCATAATTTCTAATAAGCTCAAAAATTTTTCTTTTGTGCTTGATGATTATGATTCAGTTTTCCTGTATAATTTAAATATTTATGACTAAATTAATTTGAAACTTAATAATTAAACATATTATTGTAACAGCATAAAAAATATTTGGTTCGCGAATTTTTCGGTAATTCTTTATTATTATAACACTATATTTTGTATGTTTAATACATTATTTATGTTTATTATAACTCTCGATTTTTACCAAATAATTATTTTTATTAAATAAAAAAACTTATGAATTCTATCTGAAAATGTAACATTTTAAGCATAAAATAGTCCATTTGAAATTATAAAAGTTGAAAAAGTGTTATTTATATTTTATTTATGCAAATTTCAAATATATAAATATTCAACTTTTATTTCATTAATATTTATATTAATACGTAATGATAAATTTTGTAATTTGTATATATTACTTTTATAAAAAATAATACGTTCTGAATATTTTGATCAAATTTATAGGGCAAATTTAATTTAAAAAATTAAAATATAGTTTGAGAATAATTTATCAGGTTAAATATCAACATATTTAACACCGAAATTTATACTATAAAAAACGTAATTACTTTTCTTAGACGTTTCTTATTATCGAATGCACTCAGGTTACAAAGTTTATGTCTAACTTCACTTTTACAGCTGTAACAACTTAGACAAATGAGAATTCCGATGCTGAGACAAATATTTAATTTAGATAAGAAGCTAATATAATTTACAATAGATACAATAACTTATTTTTAGTTTATTTTTAATAAAAAAATAAATCTCATTATTTGAATATTTGTATTTAAAAAAAACAAATATTAAAAACAAATATAAAAAAAATACAAATACTTCTTTAATCGAAATTTTTGTAATTAAATTAAATATTGCAGTTTAATTCAAATGCTGTAATTAATTATCGAATGTTAACGCATTAATTTAAAGCAAGTTACTTTTTCTTTTTCTTAAAACAATATTTTACATTAAAATTAAGGAATAAATATCAATTGTATGTAATTATAATTTTAATCATATTCTTTGTTGATACTTCATTATATTTAAATTGTTTAGAATACTTTATAATGTACTCTAAATTACTCCAAAGTACTCAAATATTACGAATTTAGTTACATTTTCCAGAATATAACTGTATCCTGAAATTTAATTATAAATTATGAACAGAAACCTTGATTCTTCGACGTTCTTGATAAGAGATTTCTATATATAATGGGATATTTCCCTTGTGACTGTAGAAAGATATTAGCTAACTTTCTATTTATTTTTTAGATAATTCTCATTGAAACTTTGTAAAATAGAGAAAAATGTTTAGATATTTATGTTTCAACAGATAAACTTATTTTGAAATTTGTTGCGAATGATTTTTCTTTACTATTAGTTTTAGGATGTTTTATATAGTAATAATAACAAATAAAAATATTTACTAAAGAATATTTTATTTAAATAAACATTTTTTGAATCAAATATATTTTTACAGCAGCACAATACGATACAAAAATTATTGTTGTATATAATTCAATATATTATTTTTTAAAACTGTTTTCTTTTGTTTACTAAAGACATTGTTATCAAATATTTTTAATTTTCTTTTTAATAAAAAAAACTGTCTCACGTAATTCTTTTAAGAAAAATTCATTGTTTCATTCTCTATTATACGAATTACATTCTTATTTATCAGCAGGAAATTATTTTAAAAATATTTTTAGAAAATACATTAAGTTATTTAATTAATATTATTTCATATTAATGATTAAAATAAATGAAGTTGTATAGATACGTAAAACAATGGCAGTACACATCTTTATACCGAATAACTAATTCATTTATTCATATAAACTGAACAAATATATAAAATTATAATATAATAGAAAAAGATTACAAGATGCTTTTATATAGTTAACATTAGTAAAACTTATGCCATTTGTTCATCAACAAAAATGCATTTTGACAATTAACAATATATCATATAATTGTTATTTTTTAATCTTAAAAGTAGGTTATAACGACCATACTCTTGTGTTCTTTTTATTATTCTCACCTAAATTGTTACATATAAAACTGACTAATTTACTCTTTCTGGTCTATTTTTAGTTAATAATAAACGTTTAAAAGCGCTTCTAAAATCACGATTTTTCCATCCGTACACAATAGGATTTAGCGCTGATTTTCCAAAATATAAGCAAACCATCCATCTTTTAACAGCATCCACTTGTTCTTGTTTAATACCATCGATGTAGCGCACGGTGATACTACAGAAATATGGCAAAAATCCAATCAAGCACACACCTAGCACCAAAGCCATCGTACGTGCGGTCTTTGCTTCTTTATGCACTCGATGATTTATTTCCAGAGCTGCTACCGCTAAGGATTGTTTCCACGCTTCTCGAAAGATAATCCCGTATAGTACTGTAGTAGACACTAGAGTAAAAAGAACGTGAGCAGCCACAACACTTAAAGCATACGTCGAAGTATGCGTATAGTAGAGATCGCATTCGTTTCCGGGTTTAAACGTTTCTCCAATTCCAAATAATGGCATTGAGCTTATAACTCCCATGTACAACCAAACTATGACGATATAAAGGGTGGCATAACGGAATGTCATGATGCGAGGATACGACAGAGCATAAATAATAGCTACGTATCTGTCTACCGCTACTCCTACCAAAGACAACATAGAGCATCCCGAAGCGTAGATAGTCGAACAATACCTCAACAAACAGCCATATTTATTACAAGAAAGTGGAGTGTTGAAGTAAAATAAAACATAATATGGTACGTTTAGACCTACTAGTAAGTCTGCAGCAGCTAAGCTAACCACAAACACATTGGTGACAGTTCGTAATTGTCGATATTTATAAACCGCAGTCATCACCACGAGATTTCCAAAAATGGCTCCTACGGCCAAGATGGCATCTACTATTACAATAACTGCTGTAGTAACATCCGGTTTCGCTTCGTAGCAAGTCGTGTTGGCTAGAATTGACGATATATAAGCAGTTCTGTTAGTACTCATCCTATACTGTTTTAGAACAATAGCCAGCGGGTTTCGTCAAATCTCTTCAAATATAATATATTTTTGAGATTAATCAATAAAAGTCGACTCTCTGCACCTTTTCTATTCACTTCCATTCTCACACGTCGACAAACAAACCCGAACTGGCGTCTGGTTGCCTGCAGCGCTTCTGATAAAGTTCGTCTTCTCCGCCAAATCAGCTACTCTTAGGATCGATGACGTATTGTGACGTCAATTTATTACTATGTTAGTAAGGGGAATTTTCCAATTACTATTATTTTTCGATCAAATATGATGAAGAGAAAAGAAAACACAGAAATTATTATAACTTTTATACATAATTATGTTTCTATAATTATGTATAAAAGTTTAAAAAATTCTTAATTTTACTAAGTAACAGAATTACTTAAAACAGAAAAAATATGTAGAAAGGCATTTAATAATTCTATTCACTTATTTTATTTATTTATCTTTGTAAATTCAAATATAAACAAATTTATCTGTTATCTTTTATAAGTTTCGAATGTCTTTGCACTATACAAAGTGGGATTTCTGCCAAATTTTCCTGTAATATTTTTAGTATAACTTATGTAACTTAATATATATATAATTGGTCGTAAATTAGGAAAATGAAACAACGAGGCTTTGTCCCATCTTAATAAAATTCAAGATGATATTGCATTTCGATTTTTTATGAAATTTTATATTTAAAAAATGGAATTTTTCTAGCTTAACTTTACATTTCGTCATCTTAAAAATTCTATTTATAATATTAAAATAGGTACATGACAAGACTGACATCGATTTTTTGCCATGTTATAACTGAATTTAACATATGGTATACTTCAAACGTTTGCTGCTAAACTTTCTATTTTTTTTTTATTGAATGTTTTTATAGTTACACATTCTACATAAAACAATTTTTTTGAATAATAAAAATAGTTGCAATTAAATATATGAATATAACGTAGTTATGGTATTAAATATCTTAAGTAAGTCTATATAAAATTGTATTAAAATCCAATACGACGTTTATAATATTATAGTTAACTTTAGTATTATCTTATCTGCTTGAATATTTTTTATTGATATAAAATATATTTGAAAGAATATTGTAAAACTTTTTAAAATGTTAAAATATATTTTTTGAATTTATTTTAAGTAAGTATTACTTGCCTATCATGAGAGTATATATCATGTGATTTATTTAATAAAAAATATAAATTTGCATTTAAAACCTAATATTAATAGCTTCATAATCACTATTGAACTGAAGAAAAAGTGAAAAACTTATTAGTTTTTTATGGTTAAGAAAAAGCTTTATCTATGAAAAGTAGAATATTCGAAAGTTTTTTTTTATTATACAATTAAATATAATATTTTAGAATATTTTAAAGAACGTTTGGGCATTTTGAAGCGTGAGCATAATAAGATACCTTCAAATCGTAATGTGGATAAACAGAGGGATTCTTCCCTCCATTACGTTTATTGGTAACTGATCCCTTTCATTGTGAACGTTAATACCTTTCTCTGTCGTCTTTTGTCAAATAAATAGGATTAAGAAAGACATAAACTCTAACTAGATAGAGAATATCAAGATGTTTTGTGTCATGATTAGATAAATATATTCTGTAGTAATACTTTTTCTTTTATCAAAAAATAATTGTACAAATATTTACAATTAGCATCAAAAGTAACAAATAACAATTACATAAAAGAGAAGAAATAAAGCTGACGATTCATGAAGTTATGTAATAATAATAATAATAAATTCAGAAGACCGAATGTGGGAAGATGTTTTATATTCAGAAAAAGTAAACGTTAATTTAATGGATTAATATATAAATGTTTAAATCATTTTTTGAATATTCATTCATTTGTATAAGCATATAAATATTAGACTTTTACGAATTCCTTAGAATAATTTATAGTCTTTTAAAAATTCTTTATGCCGATAAATCATCTGTGACTAAAGGAAATCGTTTA